CGATTCCTCATACTGGATTGATTTTCCCAACCTTAGTACAAGGGGAGGTGGTTAGTCTTACTGCAACTTGATATGCTATGTTTTCTTGATAACCATAGAAAGCCTGTCTCTTTCTGAAGAGAAACAGAGAAGTGGATCGGAGGCAGGGGGAGGGGGGTGAGGGAATGGGAGAAAGGAGGGAGGGAAAACTTCAGTCAAGATGTAAAGTAAATAAATTAATTAAATAAAAATTTCATTGCTTTTATTTATTTGTGTATTTTCATATGCCATGGTGCCGATGCGAAGGCCAGAAGAAACTTGCAGTATTCAAAGCGGCAACATTAAATAAACTCAACAGTGTATATGTGTGGATGTGTAGGGGTGTGTGGTGTAAAAATAGTAATTATAGAAGAAGAGGTACTGAGTTAGAAAGAGAACTTGGGATGGGAGAACACAGTAAGAGTTAGGACAAGGAGAAGGAGTTGAAAATATGTAAGCCACAGGGTCTGTTTACCTGGACAAGGGTGTGCCAAACTCGACCAGCCATAGTGATGGAAGTATTTATTGAGAATATTCCCATAAGAACACTTAAAGAGTCATACACATGCCTTAAAAAAATCTTTTATGAATGTTGCCTTGTACAAGGACTAAGAAAAGGCTGGACTATCAAAATAATTGGGAAGTCTGTGACATTTCTCTTATAAATTGACCTTTCTTCAGTAGAGAAGGCAGGAGAAAATGCAATGACGGTACATTAGAGAAATGCCAAGTGTTCTTTCCCTGGAAGCCTTGGAGCCGTTTGTCTGTCTTCGGTTTGGAAAGGGAGATGATCTGAATGGAGTTAAAGACTGCAGCTCGCTTTTGACAGGAATGTGCAACCAAGAGACTGAGTGAGTCATGATCCAAATGAAGGTGAAGTGCCTGGCAGGGTATGAGATTTGCATGATGTGCAACCAGGGGGTGGGAGGGCTGAATAGTTGATGCAAAGTACAGGTACATTCTGAACACATTTCCCTCAGATGTAGCCCACTCAGTGCAACAGCTAATCTCTAAGATGTGGGATCAGACCTCTCATGCTGTTATCAAGTTTTATATGTATTAAACCACAGTCTCAAGTTTTTGGTAGAAATCAATTTAATGTTGGAACTTAATCTTTTATGTATTTCAGTGCCAGTGATGTTGTCTTTTAAATGGAGACTGAAAAGAACTGACTGTAGCAGCCACCCATCAGTTCTGTTCCTGACTTACCGGAGCGGAGTAAGATGCCCTCAGTAGGCTTTTCCCCCTTCTCTTTTCAATGTATTCTTTCAATTTCTAGGTGCCTGACTTGCCACATTCTGTATTTGCTCAAATACAGTTATTTTTCCTTCTTTTCTTTTTGTTTCTTTATAGTAGTGAAGAGACAGAACTAAGAGGAAGTAAGAAGGTAAGTTTCTTGTAGGAACATACGCTCTGTTTGATTACTTATGGATAGGATTGTTTATAGGAAAATAGACTTTAATGAGAAAGAAAAAAATCCATATTTAGTTATTAAACAGCCTAAAGAACATTTAGTAGCTAATTCTTTAAATTATCTCTGATGCTTTAGATAACTGAAACAAAAATATTGGTATAGCTGTTACACAAAACTGTTTTTTAAACAAAGCTTTCCTTCGATTTATATATTTGTAAATTGTTAAGAGCTGGTGTTTCTCAATTTCCCACTTTATATTTTTCTTCTTAAATTATTACCAAAAAACCCCCACAAAACCTAGAGCATTTGAATGGCATATGCCAAGTTTAAGGATGGGTATCTCCATTTCAGTTAAGCATTGTATAAGAATTACGTGAGTATATTGAAACTACTTTGAGCCTACAAGTATGTGTTATCACAAGTTATTAAAGGCCTTATCCTGTACTTCTCATAAAACAAAAACACAGTTTGACTACAGACTCCCAGGCTATCAGATTTGGTTGGCATCATCTCACATTGTCTCTAACACTCTGTTTGTGACAAAGCTCGCTCGGCTGAGCAGGACTCCTCACCTAATGCAGGAGTTGAATCAGTGAGAAGTTCTACCAACTGTTGACCATATCCAGAGTATTTATCCTCACAAACATTTCCTTCTTGTCTCCAGATAGCACAGCTGGCACTGTCCCAAGGTATAAAAGAAAAAAAAATGGAACAGAACAGATTTTATTTTGTATTTGCTGTGCTGAAAATTCAAAACCAAGTATTCATGAGGGCCGACTTGCCTCTATTTGCCTCCCTGCCTTCCTGAGCCTTAATACCTTAATTAATCATGCGTTTGAGCCTCTCGGGGCTGACGCTACAGCTTGAGAGCTGGGTCTGGTGTTAGGAGGAACAGGGAAACCAGTAGAAAGCCTGGAAAGCAGAGACCTAAGCTTTATTCGTTTAATTAACAGTACAGTGGTTTGTTTTATTTTGTGCCATAATAAATGTGCACACTAATATGGAAATTGCATTAATTTGATCAGGTTTCCATAGTATTTCCTGAATTAGATAAGGTGTCTTAGAGTTTCTATTGCTGTGAAGAGACATCATGACCATGGTAACTCTTAAAGAGAAAACATTTAGTTGGGGTGGTTCACTTAAAGGTTCAGAGGTTTAGTCTGTTAGCATCATGGCGGGGCGCATGGCAGCATACAGGCAGCCATGGTGCTGGCTACATCTTGCAGCTAATAGGAAGTTGACTGACACACTGGGCAGTATCCTGAGCATAGGAACCCTCAAAGGCTACCCCCCACAGTGACACACTTCCTCCATCAAGGCCACACCTCCTAATAGTGCCACTCCCTTTGTAGGCCATTGTCCTTCAGAACACCACTTAAGAGAAGCTAAATGTCTTTACCCACAAAATATAAAGGGCTGGGCAGAAAAACCACACATTTGTCCATAGGCAAGTCCAAGGTAGCACATTCCCAATTCTGGCCCTGATAGAAATAACTTGGGAGCTTCTCAAACTGAGAATTCTGGAGACCTAGCCACCTGGAGCAAACCTTCCCTGTGATTCAGATATGTGTTAGAATGTGAAGTACATCAAACAGTTTTTCCAACTTGGGGATATGTGTGTGCACAGAAGTTGCTTTTACTCTATGCGCTGACTCACAAGCTCATGCTGTCAGTCAGTATCTGCAATCCCCAACATGCCCACATTAAAGGGAAAGAGCAGATTGTGAGGCACATGAGGTGTGGCCCAGATAGTTACCATATTTCTCATGTGACTTTGGAGAGGAAGTCCACAGTATAGTCGCACCAAACTGCAATGGGCTGAGAAACGTACCGTAGATGAACAATAATGCCCAGGGGCCACAATCAAAGGCAGAGGGAAACTGTTATGGGAACATTTTCTGTGTTGTGGTCCCATGTCCAATGGAGCTGAGCATTTGGTTTGAGAGTTGGAGTTCACATTCAGCTGGTCAGAATGGATCATGGAGTTCACTGGCCGACTCAGGACAAGAGAAAGAAAGGCCCTTGGAAGAGGAAGAAGAAGGGAAGTGGACACTGGTGATATCATGGTCGCTTGCAATTATCTCAGGTTTTCATCTTTAATATTTGTTGCCAACTTTTATTTTATTATAAATGATAAAAGAAATTGCCATAGGAAGCCAGGTGTGTTAATGCACACCCGTAATCCTGGCACTTGGAAGACCCAATTTGGGAGGATCACTGAGTCCAGCCTGACTACCTAGAAAGTTTCAGGAAAGAGTAGGCAGCAGATTGAGACTATCCCAAAAAAACAAAAAACAAAAAACAAAAAAGGAGGAGAGCTGGCTCAGGGTTTAAGGGAATGTACTGTTGTTAATGCACAGCTCTTCAGAGAATCAGAGTTCCGTTCCCACCATCCATGTTGGACTGCTCACAGGTTCTTATAACTCCAGTTCTGGGTGTCTAATACCCTTTGCTGGCCTCTGGGGTCACTGCACTCACATGCACATATTCACACAGATACATATAGTTAAAAATAAATCTAAAAATAAAGATAGAAAGAGAAGGAGAGAGAGGTAGAGAGGAAAGAAGGAGAGAGTGGTTAGTACAGGACAAAGGAAAAAAACAAAAGATAAGGGATTTTGTGGATTGATGGTTGATAGTGTTTGGCATGATTACATGTTTATATTGTAACAATTGGTTTGCAAAGATGTGTTTTGTTCAGTTTTTCTTGCATTCTCATTGCCATTGTATTAATTTAGTTACTTTCTCATTGTCTCTGACATTGTTCAAGAGGATAATATCACAAAAATTGAAGTTTAAGAAAGCAGGAACAGTTGGTGGTATCAGAAGCTGCTGGAAAATGAATTACATGGAGAGTAATGCGCTCTAAATTTGTTATGTTAGAGGCCATTAGCATCTGTAGGAAGGAGACTGTCATGTTACAGAAGGTATGCTGATATAATGTCTTAGGAAGTATATAGGAAGTCAGAAAAAGAACAGAGTAAATTAGTGTGATTTTTAGAAGATCAGCTGTAGAGTGGAAGAAAGATAGGATGTGGTGATATTGTGTTCCCCAATATATCGGGCACCTCAAATAAATTTATCTGGGGTCAGAGAACAGAACAGCCACTAGACAGACATATAGGCCAGAAAATGGTGGCACTCACACCTTTAATCCTAGCAACCCAGAGGTGGAGATCCATCTGATTCCCTGAGTTCAAAGCCACACTGGAAACAGCTAGGCATGGTAACAAGAGCCTTTAATCTCAAGAAGTGATGGCCGGAAGCAGAAAGGTATATAAGTGTGAGGACCAGAAACTAGAAGCTTTTGGCAGGATAAGCTTTCAGGCTTTCAAGAAGCAGTTCAGCTGAGATCCATTTGGATAAGGATACAGAGGCTTCCAGTCTGAGGAAACAGGATCAGCTGAGGAATTGGAAAGGTGAGGAAGTTGTGGATTGTTCTGCTTCTCTGATCTTCCAGCATTGACCCCAGTACCTGGCCCAGATTTGTTTTTATTAATAAGACCTTTTAAGATTCATGATACAATAGGGCTAAGTGTGGAAAGAGCTGGAGCAGAGGCCTGAGAATAATTACACCTTGTAAAATATGGCTGATGAGGTGCAGCTGAATATTCAGGAAAGGCAGGTTGAGGTTTAATGGACTCCAAACATACATATAGGATGAGAGAGAAAGATAACAAAAATTTGGGAGACACTTGGGGCTAGAAAAAATGCAAGCAGTCCTTACGATAATTGAGTCAGAACGTTTACTGAATAACTGAGGAGTTACTGAGCAGTGATAGACAGTATGGTAAATCATTTGAATAAACTTACCCAAACCCAAGGGAGCCACATATTCATATTACTGTAGTTATTTGGATGCTAAAATGTCCTAACCTATGCATATTAGAATTTCTCTCACTACTGTCTTCCTACTGTAAAAAAGTAATAATAATAATTCCCCTTTCTGCAGGAAGGAAAGCTAAGATTTCTGCAGGAAGGAAAGCTAAGATACTCTCTTTTGCCCAAACCTGCCTGATGAATCTGTATAAGGTATTCTCTAGTCAGTTTGTTTATAACAAATTCAGACCTTTATAGATTTCAGTGACCTCTCAAGTCTTCAAAGGTTCTTATGGGAGGCTTCAAGAACTGACATCTTTTTATTGGAATTACAGGAAATTCTAAAAGGAAACCCATCAAATGAACCAGTGTTCAGGTTTATAAAAAGGTAATTAAGAATACTGATTATGTACTTTAACATTCAGATTCAGTTATAAGGAGTGAAACTAAAATATGAGTTTCTCAATAATTAAGCATCTAATTTAAAAAATAAAAACTCAAAGTGCTTACTTATTGTAGTGTGATCTGTAAACCCATACAGAGCCATGCTATACCGCTTCACAGTATGGATGTTTTAACTATCTGTGCATATGTGCTTTGTGGTGTGTAAATGTATAGAGTACATATTCCCATGTGCACATATGGAGACAGGAGTCAACATTGATGCCTATCTCTGTTATCCTCTACTCTTTGGGGACAAAATCTTTCATTGAACCAGGAGCTCCGTAGCCAGCCAGCCAGTGTCTGAGGTCTGCAATTTTTCTTTATCCCCAGTGCTGTCCTCATAGATTTACCAGCCAGTTTTTTAATGTGGGTGCTGAGGTAAGAACCTAGAACCTCATCTATCTACCTATCTGTCTGTCTGTCTGTCTGTCTATCTAATATATATCCACTTAGCTTTCATCTCTCATCTATCACACGTTCTACCCACTCGAGAGAACATTTGTTAGGAGAATTAGCATGCATGATTGCAGCAGCAGAGAAGTTACAGTGGCATGAGGTTCTGCAGGATGGAAACATCAAACTATGTGAACATTGCTTAGTCCAGGTCAAAAGCATTCACAGAAAAAACTAACAATGTGAGTCTCAGTTGAAAACCAAAGTCTTGAGATCCTAGAGTTCTAATACCAAGTGCAGCAGGAATAGGGTCTATACCATATGTCTTAGTCTGTTCTTTCTTTCTGTTAAAAAAAAAAAAAACTTCCTGAAACTGTGTAATTTGTTAAGAGTTGAGCTTTATGTGGGAGTACCTGGTTTCAGAAATCAAGAAGAAAAGAGCCTAGAGCTGGTATTTGATCAGCATCTGGTTAGGAGCTAGGTGCTGCTGGCTCCATGATATAGCTTGGCAGGAAGTGTCACATGATAAAACACACTGAGAATGTTAATGTAGCCTTTCTTCCTTTGACTGTAAAGACAGGAATGGCCTCATGGGAGTCCCAGTGCTCATTACCTTATCTAACGTTAGTTACCCTCACAAGGCTTTCCTGCAAGTAGAATTAACATTTGGGGGCTAAGTCACCAATAAAAGATTATTTTTGATAGGGTCTACATTCAAACCACAGCAGCAGTTGACTTTCCAGTTTAGACATGAAAGATTTAGGCTAACATATTCAAGGAGGATCAGGGTGGGGAAGTACAGTGAGAGATGGAGTCCCAAGAATTTGTTGACATCATTAGGGGCAACAAATGAAACAGTTCATGTGGGCTAGAGGTCACAGTAAGGATTTGACTGTTAATCTGGTTAAAGAGATCACTATCTATAAGGGTTGGGCAGAGGAAGTACACTTTGTATTTTTTTCCTTTTATTGAAAATATTTTTTTTTTTACTTAATACAATCCTAATTACCGTTTCCCCTCCCTCAACAACTCTTACTCCCTCCATAACTCTCCTCCCATCCCAATCCACTCTCTCATTAGAAAGCAAACAGGCTTCTAAGGGATAATAATACAATAAAATAGAATAGGATGAATCAAAACTAATACATTGGAATTAGATACCAAAAAATTAAAAAAAGAAAGAAAGGAAGAAAGAAAGAAAGAAAGTGCCCAAGAGAAGACACAAGAAACAGAGACACACTTGTCCACACACTTGCAAATCCCATAAACACTCTAAAATGGAAGCCATACTGTACACACATAGAACCTTGGGCAGACCTGTGCTGGCCCTGTGCATGCTGCTTCAGTCTCTGTGAGTTCATATGTGCTTTGATCATGTTGAGTTAGAGGGCTTTGTTTTCTTGGTAGCCTCCATCTCCTCTGGTTCTTATACTCTTTCTGCCTCCTCTTCTACAGGGTTCCCTGCCCTGAGGGGAGGAATTTAATGGAGACAACCCATTTAGGAATGAGTGTTCTAAGGTCTTTCTTTCTCTGCATAATATTTGGAAGTGGGTCTCTATATTAGAAAAACAATTTTTGTTTCAATTATGAAATGATTATTTTAGTTGTGATGTACAATGTATTCCCTGAAGATGAATTAAAATAGAAAACTAGTTACAAGAATGTTTTATTTTGCTTTATTGTTTTATTTTATTATTAAAGACATTTTTGAAGGGGAGATGGTGTAGCCACTCTGGAAATTAATATGTAGAATACTCAAAAAACTAAAACTAAAAATCCTACATATGACCCAGTTATACCTCTCCTCAACATGTGATCAAATGACAGATATCCTGCTCCACAGATATTTGCTTGTAGTTCATTGTGCCCTATTCACCAAAGCTAGGAAATGGAAATACCCTGAATGTCCTTCAACAGATGGGTGAATAGTGAAAATGTGGTACATATGCACAATGAAATATATATAATGGAATACTATTCAGCTGTAAAGAAAAATACAATCATGAAATCTGCAGGTAAATGGATAGACCTAGAAAAGACTATATTGAGTGAATTAACTTTGACTCAGGAAGACAAATGAAGCATATTCCCTCTTAACTATGGTTTCTAACTACAAATCCTCAGAGGTGAATATCCAGCATGGTTTAACCACAGGAACTAGCAAAGTATAGATCAGTGGTTCTCAACCTGTGGGTCAAGACCCCTTTGGAGGTCCAGGGACCCTTTTACAGAGGTCACCTAAGACCATCAAAAACACAGTTATTTATATTATGATTCATAACAGCAACAAAATTACAGTTACAAAATAGTAACAAAAATAATTTTATGGTTGGGGTTCACAACCACATGAAGAACTGTATTAAAGGATCACAGCATTAGAAAGGTTGAGAACCACTGGTATGGAGGTGTCATGTAGGGAGAGGGGCCTTGGGAGGTTATTAGTGGGATATAAATGATAAGAAGCAGGAAACAGAATAACTGAGAAGGGGCTCCAACTGGGGTGGGAAGGGAGGTCAGTACAGAAAAAAGGAAAGGCTGCACTGTGGAATAATCCTCTTGTACACTGTAAAGATATGTCACTCGAATTATTTTAATAAAATGCTGATTGGCCAGTAGCCAAGCAGGAAGTATGGGTGGGGTGACCAAACTGAGAATGCTGGGGAGGAGAAGGGTGGAGTTAGGAGTAGCCAGCCAGACACAGAGGGAGCAGGAGATAAATCTGCCATGCTCATGAAGTTTACCATGTGGTAAAGCATAAATAGACATATGGGTTAATTTAAGTGTAAGAGTTAGCTAGTAACAAGCCCTAGCTATTGGCCAAACATTTGTAAGTAGTATTAAGCCTCCAAGCAATTATTTGGGAAGTGGCTGCCAGGTATTTGGAAACAGGTGGGCAGGAGAGAAATGTCTGATTATAAGGCTGAGGAACAAATAACACCAGGACTGTTTGATAAAGTTCCAAGGAATAATATTACTTTATAATATACCTAAAATTATAACATGTATGTAAAATTAACCCACTTGGGATGACCAAGTTCCCCCCCAAAACCGTGAGCTAACATAACAAAAAACCCAGCACCAAGCATAAGAAATCTTTCAAATGGTTGGTCAGGGTAGTCCAAGTGGCTCCCAAAACAGTATAGATTATCAGTGTAGATGTAGTCCTTGACTGCCTCTCAGAAGTGGGCAACCTGTTATTGAAAAATAGATTGTACACTTAGGGTGAAGAACTCACATGATTTAAGTTGGACCTGACCTTCAAGCCTCTTTGCTGTGGTCTTGCTTCCATGGTTCCAGAAAATACCATCCAAGCTGGTAAAGAAGGGAAATAATTACATAATACTACCCTGCTGTGGAATGTTAATGTATGTCCTGTGGGAGCCCTTCTTGGGTTCCTTGTGGCGTTACCCAGCAGGTTTGCATAGAGGATGATTAGGACCATGGGCCTGAGTGCAGGTGTCTGAGATGGTCTGCACTTGGCTGTA